TCCAAGACCAGGTTGGATGGGGCTGTGAGCAACCTTATCTAGTTAGCAGTGTCCCTGGTCCCTGCAGGGGGGTTGGACTGGGTGATCTCGAGGGGTCCCTTCCCACCCAAAGCATTCTGTGATTCTATGATATATAATACCAGGGCAAGTATCACCGCGGGATCGTTCCAGGCAATACTCCGGAACAAGAAGAGATGGCGAAAGCCCATTGCATCAACGGGAGCCACCCTTGCTCAGTACCTCTGCAAACTAGGCCCACACCTCTTTCATCCATGTTAAGCCTCATCTTCTATCAATAGCAGTTTCATAGGATGGCTTCTCTCCTTAAATTCTCAGTAGTTGTACTACATCCTTTCTGGTGGAGTGGAAATGCTTCAGAATTTGCAAGTGGGACTTTGCCACGAAGCTTTCAGCTTTACCTTGCAATGTGCAATGTGCAACTGGCTGCCTTTGGAGTACAGGATAGACCATTAATGAAGGGCACCATCCTATTCTGTTACACTTATTTCATGTCATACTGAAAGTCTGGTCGAGTTATATTACTAGCTTTCTGCTTTTCCTTTTCATCTGTCCCGCTTTGCACTAGTTTTAGTGAAATTGAATTCAGAATAGGAGGTGGAGTTCCATGTATGTAAAGAGAAGTAGAATTCAATACCCTGATGAGCAGCTGCATAAAAGCCCCAATCTCGCTGTTCTTTCTTTGTAGGGAAGCATTCCTACACGTTTTAGTGGCTGAGCCTGGAAGGAATCATTCCCAAGGACTCGTTTCAGTTTGAGAACGTTTTGGATGACGTGATTTGCAGAGGCTGAGTGGCAACTGTGCCTCCATTCAGCTCCATCCAGTTGCACTCACACAGTACTAAGAGGATCAGAGCCGGTGATTCTGGGGCTGTGCCAGGAATGTCTATATCAACCGCCAGACACGCGGCTTCAGTGAATGTGATGCCTCACACTTTACAGAGGAGAGTTACACCCCCACACAGTTCTTACTCAATAGGCTGAGTAATGAGAGTGAAAATCGCTGGGGCATTGCTGCCACAGCCTTATCTGCGGTGCACTAAGGCAAAGTCAGACGTTCCTGAGCTGAGACTAAAACTGGGGTCACAGCAGCCAAGCAGCTCCTTCAGTACTTTGGGACCCCCACATGTACACACACACCTCCGCACAGGTCTTCAAGCAGCTGAGAATACCAGTTCTGCATAAGGAGAAAGGATTTATACCCAAATAAAAGCAATCCTGCTTTGTTAAACAATGAAAAATATAAATGATTACTTGAGTCTGTGGGTTACGATCCAACCAGCAGAACATCATTACTTCACAGCTTCATAGGCTTCTCATGAAGTAATCCCGTTAGCACTGGGTGATATAATTCAGGCAATATTCTGTTAACCTTATAGTGCATCACAGTGCATGCGTAAGCCCACAATATGAGTAGAGCTACTTGAATATTGCTCCTAAGATTTTTCTGATTGAAATCCCCCTTTCATCAAAAAGCTGGCAGACATATTATCTTAGAGATCTGTGTAAAAGATATCAATGAATAAAAGAAATTTTTAAAGGCGGTGGAAAGCTGTGGTGGAAGAATCTGCTTCTCAGGCAGTTCTGGCACTGATTGTGCATGAGGCATTTTGTGATCCTTAATTCTGAGACAGCGCAAGGGCATCCATGTAGCTGTTGCCCGAGGGATCCCATGGTGATGCTTAACAAGCTCAGATCATTTACTGCATAAACACTTCAATTAAGTTAACAAACCACAAGGATTAAGACAATCAAAGGAAGGAAATGGATGTTATGCTTGGCACAGCAGCTCTTGCTCAGCCCACGCACGAGCCGCCTCTTGTCACGAACAGCAGCAGAATGGAAACGGCTCCTAAAGGAAAATATTGATACAGCTGCTAGGGTGAATTTCTCAGCTTACTTCAAGGCACATCACAGAGTGCAAGACTTTTCGTCTGATTCTCAGTTACATACAAATAATTTCTTCCCATTCCTTTTGGTCCTGCCTCCCCACAATACTCAGACCCAGGCCAACCCATTTCCCTTCGCAGTCTGTAATCAGATAAACTGTTTTACCATCAAGACCAGATAAACCAGTGCACAACTTCGCCTTCTGGTGGAGTCAGGACCCATGCAGTCATATACAATCCCTGCTGAGGGTTCAAACGATTTCCTCAGGGATATTCAAGGAATCATAGAATTGTTTAGGTTGGAAAAGCCCTTTAAGATCACCAAGCCCAACTGTTAACCTAACCCTGCCATTCCCCCACTAAACCCTGTCTCTAAACACCTTGTCTTTTAAATGACTGGTAACAACCCGAGTGGCTGACCTAGCTGAAAATTTACCTTGGGTTTGAGTAGGACCTGTGCCAGACCATCTCCAGAGGTCGTTCCAACCTACATTATTCCATGATTGTTTTATTTCTTAGTATATATACCATGGTATATATCAGAAAGGGGAAAAAATACTCTGTTGAAGGCTTTCTGACAACTTATGTTGGCCACACAGAGGAATTAATTCTTCTCTGATGACATTCCTCGATTAATGCACAGAGTTAACTTATTTCAGACTAGTTTGTAACTATGAAACTGCAGTGAAATAAAAGCCAGAAGACTATGTGCTATGATGCGACAGGGCTTTAATACCAACAAAAAGTGAAATACATTCTTGCAGAACGAGGCAATGCAGAGACAAAGAACGTAATTTCCATTTCAACAAGGACTACAATCAGTCGGCCATTCTGAGGAGCACAGGGCTCGAAAGACATTCTCCTTTCAGCTGGACACTTTCACAGTCAAGTCCCATTACTTGTTTTACTCTCTTCAGGTTCAGAAAGAACAAAACAGAACATGAGCAAATGACAAAGTCAGGCAACACTGGGATCATAAGCCTTAGATGAAGCGCAAAGAGATCCCAAGCAAGCCCAGCTCCTACTGACATCAGCTGGAGCAGAAGCTGCTTGGCAGGTCTGATTTCCAAGTCTATATGTCAACTACTAGTTTGTACCTTATTGTTCCTTCAGTCATTACTCTTTCTTAAAGATTTAAAATGGCCCAGAGTTTCCATAGCGATACCTATAATACCCTCTGGAAAAAAAGGGGAAATAATTTCTACCAAATCCTGAAAAAAGTGAGTTTCGGTAAAAGCTTCCCCAATGGGACATTCCACCACCACACGAGCCCTCCCCACCATATGAGCCCCCTCCCATGCCACCATAAGAACCGCCTGAGCCCATTCCATAGGAGCTGCCTCCACCACAGGAACCACCATAGCCCATTCCTCCACCTCCGGAGCCCATTCCTCCACTTCCAGAGCCCATTCCTCCACCTCCGGAGCCCATTCCTCCACCTCCGGAGCCCATTCCTCCCTCAATTTCAGGCATGGCAGTTCCCACAAAACTTTCCTGAGGGCACGAGCTGATAATGGGTCCTGGGAAAGTCACGACAACGGGTGGCGCGTACACGATTGCTCTTGAATCTGCGCATGAGCTGACACATGGTTCATTCCAACAGTTGACATATGGTTGCGGGCACGTCACTTCGCATGGCGCAGAACAGCGGGAGCTAAGCATCTGTCCACAGGAAGACATCGTTCCAGAAGGCAAGGCAACCTGAAAGGCAGAGCCTGCTAAAGTTATGGCCCAAGGAGTGAGAGAACAAACTGTGTTATAGTAACGTGGGTTGTGTAGAGGTGTTGAATGGTATCCGTCTGAACAGATGCAGATATGGATGTTGGAGCCATCTACACTAAACTTAAGAGTTAGTGATTGAAAAAAAAAGAATTAAAAATAATCACCATTTCTAAGGCACAATCCATTCTACTCCAAAGTAGTCTTGTGCATTACAGATCTCGCCAATCAAGTGAGATGAACCGCTGGGTAGAGACTTCCAAGTCTAATCCCACTCCTCTCTAGCACTCCATTGCCCTGTAGCCTATTCCCAAAATGAGTTTTGGGAATAACGTCCCTCTGTCCTTTTCTTACATCATTACCTTTGCTGTGCTTTTTGTCTGGGGGTTGGTCCTATATTGATAATGTTTTTGGTGTGTCCTGTCTCTGTAGACAGATGCCCAATTCCTAGGAATTGCTACCATCTACATTTTTCGAATTCCTATTCATTTTTTCCCGCCACACGTGGCGATGCCTATATTCACCCTATTTGCAAGTCACAGTTTCCAAGTAAACTGTTTCTAGAGAATAAGGTCCTACCCTAAAATCGGGTAGGATATATAACCTCATATTAACGCTACCTATAAATCCATGTCTATAATTATGAACTGATTCAGTTAAATCAGACTTACCCAGTCACCAAGAAGAATAAGTCAGCAGAGGCAGCTACAGCGACCTGAGTTACGAGCACTTTTATATGCTGTCATAGGGAATAGAAATTGGGAGATACCTTTACGCAATCATTCTCTACATCTTGTGAAACAGAATGTTTTCCCCTAGTGATGCCTGCCTTTGTTGCAACCATTTTGATTACATCTTATGATTATTAGATAATCTCCAGTCCCACACAGCACGATGTGCCCACTTTACCCATCTTGTCTTTTCACCAAAATATATCACAATAAATTGAGGTTGGCTGGAAAATACTTGCTAATGCTTGCGAAGGTAGCTCAGAGGTGGCTAAACTACGTGCTGCTAGTAAGCACAGGATTCCAGTTCATTATTTGTCATCTCGGGGAATAATCATCAGTGGCCTTCTGGATTCTTCTTCTGTAAAGGTAGGAAATCTTTTTATATGGCCATTAGTGTCCGTGGCCTTTGGATACTCACCCCAGTGGCTTTGGGACCGTGCTTTGGGCAGATGTTCTCCTACATGACTATACCACGTTCCAAGCAAGTCGGAGATGAGAGAGACTCTCCTATGAGCCCTAGGATCAGGGATAATAATCCAATCAGAAATTCAGCTAAGGAGAGGCACCTGACCAAGCTTTTACAATTTGTCATCGTTTCCTCATCTCAAGGAATCATTCCCTTGCAATGTGCCTTCAGAATAAATACCAAAAAGTACTAATAACCATGAAGAAATTGAATTCTCCTTTCCGAGTATGCTTGTTGGAGACCCATATGAGGAGAGGCATGGTATACATCACCTGTGGGACTAGAAGATCCAGAGGAAACATCACCTGAAGTACAGGTCCATAACCTCAGCTAGAATAAATTCACAAGGCCTGACAAATGCCAATACTGTGATTCACATCGTCACATTTACACAAGCCCCCCTCTTAGCTATGTTCTTGTGGCAAATTATTAGAAGTAAAGCTAAAAAAAAAACCAAACAGATTATTTTATTTACATTTCACAACCATGAAATCAATATAATGACCAGAGGAATGCGTGCAGCCGATAGAGATGTGACAGCAAGCTGCACAGAATAACACGGCTCACATCATTTATGGGAATGAGACATAACTAGTAATTACAGCAATTGGCAGCTGAAGCAATTAAAGGAGTTACCAAACCAAATATTTTATAGACATTAATAAGGACTTCATGGGTTTTGAGGTTTTTCCAGTGTATCAAAGACTTGTTCAAAACACAGCTTTTTAACACCCGCTGCAGAAAATCACCCTGGCTTGACCATCCGGGCAGTTTGCTTGCTGTAAGTGATGCTTTTCCCCAGCAGTAAGGGGAATTCAGGTTTTATATCAGGTAGAAAGCCCTAAGAGCAGGTACAGTCTTTCAGGCTCAACCTGCAGTCAGCCCTCACACTTGACAGACACCCTTTAAAAAATATAAGGTACAAAATACAAAAAAGTAATTGGCAATAGCCCAACACCCCTTTTCACACCACCTGAACCTCTGCCTTGCATCAAAGAATTCTTTTAAAGATAAATAGATATCCTCCCTCAGCAGCAGAATGCCAAGTGCTTCTGAAAAATATGAAAACCAGCAGAGTTTTTTATATTTTCCTCTCAATTTGTTGCTTCTTACAGAGAGCAGCAACCTTACATAGACCAGTGATCTGGCCTGGCTGAGGAACCCCAAACTTGGTGCTTACAGCTTTGGGTTTAAACTCACACACAAATTCCGAAGCATTATCTGAAAGATTCCTCATCTTGGTTTTTTTTTTTTTTTTTTTTTTTTTCCTCCTTGTTTTTTTTTTTTTTTTTTTTTTTTCTACCATGCTGCTGTTGTTGTTGTCATCAGCATTATTGATTTTCTGGTTTTAGAAATCTCAGCACTGTGCTCTGATCCTTACTCAGCTGCTTTGCATACTGAGATTAAATCTTAAAGAGGAAGCTGGTTTAATTGCTATTGCTCTCACCTGTGCCATGCTATAATTTTCTAAATTGATCTTAAAGCTCGCTTGTCTGAAAGGAAATAGCCTATATTATTATCACAGATTGTAGCAAAACATTACCCTTAACCTTCATTTTTCCGTAGATTCTATCATAGCCATTCCAGGCAGATAGTGCTTGTACGAGAATAACAAACAACGCCATGCGGCAAAATAAAAAGGCAAAAATATGGGAATCGTTGTGCAAGAGGGTAAACTTAGGGCTGCTTTGCATCCTGGACATCCACACTTCATAGAATCATGGAATGTTTTGGGTTGGAAGGGACCTTTAGAGGCCATCTAGCCCAACCCCTCATTTGCCCCATTTTGGCATAGTCAGGGTGGTCTAAGAGCTGTCACCTGGAAACCTGTTTCCAAAACTGCTCAAATTGGAGGGTCGATATTGCTGAGTTCATCCTCCTCTCCCTGTATTTGGAGGTGTTTGATGATTTACTCAGACTACGCTCTTGTAAGTGTAGGAAACCTCGTGACTTCGGGCTGAGCAGAGCACAAGACAACAGAAAAAAATAAGGAGAAAAGTCAAGATTGATGGTAGAATTTGTAGTTTTCTGGAAAAAACTGATGCTTCCACCAGTTCCCAAAATCAAAGGAACTTAATTTCTTAAAATCACACCCCCATCTACCTTCTGTTTCTCGGGCTTTATCTTATAACAATCTTCTCCAGTAACCATTGCTTAGCACCTGAAACCCATGCACCAATACAGGCTGGGGGATGACCTGCTAGATAGCAGCTCTGCTGAGAGGGACCTGGGAGTCCTGGTGGACAATAAGCTGACCATGAGCCAGCAATGTGCCCTTGTTGCCAAGAAGGCCAATGGTATCCTGGGGTGTATTAAGAGGAGTGTGGCCAGCAGGTCGAGGGAGGTTCTCCTCCCCCTCTACTCTGCCCTGGTGAGACCCCACCTGGAGTACTGTGTCCAGTTCTGGGCTCCCCAGTTCAAGAAAGACGAGGAACTCCTAGAAAGAGTCCAGAGGAGAGCTACCAGAATGATAAAGGGACTGGAGCATCTCCCCTACGAGGAAAGGCTGAGAGAGTTGGGCTTGTTCAGCCTGAAGAAGAGAAGACTGAGAGGGGATCTCATCAACGCATACAAATATCTTAAGGGCGGAAGTCAAGAGGACGGAAGCAGTCTGTTTGCAGTGGTGTCCAACGACAGGACTAGGGGCAATGGATGCAAACTGAAACACGAGAGGTTTCAGTTGAATATGAGGAAGAACTTCTTCACTCTGAGGGTGGCAGAGCACTGGAACAGGCTGCCCAGGGAGGTTGTGGAGTCTCCTTCTCTGGAGATATTCAAAGCCCGCCTGGATGAAGTCCTGTGTAGCATGCTCTAGGTGAGCCTGCTTTAGCAGGGGGGTTGGACTAGATGATCTCCTGAGGTCCCTTCCAACCCTTACGATTCTGTGATTCTGTGATTCTGTGAAACCCCTGCTTGCCTGTCCCATCAGTCACTCAGTAAAGCAAAACAAGAGCCATCGTGCCTGAAAGTTGGACCTGGTTGTGTAACTGTGTGGTTGCCACAAGAGAAAGGAGGACATAGGGGTTAGATTCAGTTCCAGATTGGGATACCAACACTTGGGTGTCTGAAAATACATAACTGAGCTTCTCTTACAGTCAGCAGACACATTTGGCCCAGAGATCCATCCAGGCATTCACCTTTCCATAAATGCTTGCATCTCGTCAACTGAGCAGTTCTGTCGCCTCACAAAGGCACTGGAAATTTAGAAACCCCACTGATATGGAGACCCTGTATTCAGCCACCACTGCGTGTTCCAGTTTCCATTGGCACGAAGATGAATTTCGTCTTTTCCACACTCCTCACTTAATCCCCCTTCAGCAAAATTCACTCCGATCCCTGGGTGAATTCACAGCCGGTCACCTCAGCCTACTCATCTCCCATTTGCACCCCAAACACCTAGTCTCATCTTTAAGTATTTAATGGCAAAATGCAGCTCTGTCGTTGTATGGATTTCCTCTCCTATGGGTAGGTTTGGTTACGTTTTCTAGCTACAGTGCAACAAAACATGGTTAAATAATTATTGACACAGATAATTCTGAAGCTAAAGAATTCTTCCTCGCCACTAAATGAGATTCGCTTGGAGTTCAGGAATAATTACACTACTGCAATCTTAGCGGGAATCTTTCATCTTAAAAAGCAAACAGAACTAATGTTCTTTAATATCGGAGTTCTGCGCTCCCCAGTAAAACCCGCGGGTGTGTGAAATTGCAGCCTGAGGTGTAACTACAGCTTGCACATCTGTGTGTAATTTAGCTTTGTATAAA